TAGTATTCCAGTTAAAATATTCGAATTTAAAGTGATTGTTTAAATATTATATAAATATTAGATTTTTAGAAATAAAAATACTAGAATAATAAAATAATAAAAATACTAGAATAATAAAATAATTATAGTAAAATAATATCAAAAAGTATTGAAACATTGAAATATTAAAGAATACTGTATTATTAATATTTAGAAACAATATAAAATTCTGAAATATCAAAAAAATTATATAGAATGAATGTATTTCTATAATTTAAAAGTCAAATTATGATATAATGAAAATTGTAAATTATAATATATATATACATATATTTACAATATATAAAAAAAATGATTTTTTCAAATTAGTAAATAAAACTCCGTTTTTATTTTGTCATAAAATTCGAAGTAAAAACAGAACATTACTCTTTCTCAGAAAACTGTTGAGTATCGTTAACGATCTGTAAATCTTTTTAAACAAGATAATTCTCGACAATAAAACAAAATTAGCATTAGAACCAAATATAGACGAGTTATCAAGTACGAAGCATAAACATATAAATATCGATTACGAAGACTTTCATATCCAATTTTAATTCTTAAAATTCAAACACTTTACTCCATTTATAGGCAAATTATGAATTTTGCAATTACATAATATGAAATATTGCAACTATTAGCATTCCGATAAGATAATCGTTAAAAACATAATTAAAAACTATTATAAACTACGTTATAAATTAAAAAAATAAAAATCATTTTGACTTAAATTATAAAAAATATTATACAAGCAAAAGATATAAATTTTCTTGAAAAATTAGCAAAAAAATTTTTCTCTCTTTTTCTAAAATTTAATAAATTAAAAATAACTAAAAATATTATTATTTTTATTAATTTTTTTAGGATTATTATTTCTTATTATTCTTATTATTATTAGGATTATGGATATCATATCAATTAATCGATAAATATTTCATTAAACGAATTCTAGCCCATTCGTTTCATATACAACATTTATAAGTGTCATGAGTCATTTTAATTCAAATTTATAATAATAATATGTAATACATAGTAGTTACAGTCTCGAAATTTTTTTATCTATAATCTATTGCTCGAAATATTTGTAATTTTGATCATGAGACTAAGCTTGAATTATCTATTACTATTACATATTGCTCGAAATATATATAATTGCTTTGTATGAAGTTGAATTGGCGACTATTAAGTCTTATCAACTTAATATTTTAGAATAATGCGCAACAATTTTTTCAATATGAGTTTTCAAAATGCATGAAAATACTTTTAATTACTTTTAGAAATAGAAGGAATTATAAGTTTATAAAAGAATCAATTTTATTGAAGTAATTTAAAAAAATGTGATAATGATAAAATTAAATATGAATTATACATTTTTCAGATTGGCAAAAATTTATTAATTTAATCACCTGCATCCTATAGTGGTTTGAAAAAAAGTGACAAGTCCTGTAACGAAGATCATAGTGGAGATGATGTAACTTCTCGCTGGATCATCCTCTGCCATACATAGAGCTGGTGTCAAAATGAAAGGAATCGAGACTATTGCACCTATCATAGTTAAATAATGCTAGAAAACATATAATTAATTTTAAAAATAATGTTAATAAGAATGATTTTAATAGAAAAAATAAATTAAAATCTGAAGTGAATAAATTTTATTCTATATTTTTCAATTTATTTTTTCATGTAAAATCATTGTCTATCCAATTATATCATTATCACTTGATATATAATATAGATATACGATTATAAGTATATTGATCAACATTATTAGATAGAAGACGAATCATATCAAGATTTCATAAATAGTAAAATAAATAGAAGAATTAACCGTTCTTATGCTTATTGTTACTTCGAACATGTTTATCTGAAATATAAACGATCACGATAAAAGTAAAAAAAAGTACCTGTAAAGCCATAAATAAGCAAAGGTACCAGGGTGGGACATCATCAATGCCATAGGTGAGATTCGTATTTCTGTTAGTTTTATTTGGTGATGTTAATGTTGAATTTCCTATATTCTAAAACAATAATCATATATTAAATATCATATATAAAAATTATCTAAATTCATTTATAATCGTATATTAATTCTGAAAAAATTAAACTTAAACTCAAATTTTTATATAAGGGATTTTTTATATTTTATCTTTTGAATGAGAGGAAGATTTTTAATGACAATATAATTTCTTTTTTAAAAAAAATGTTTAATATTAATTCTAAAATGAGAATATATATATAGCTTCTATACACAATAAGATACATAAATTTATTTTAATAATAAGAAACTAGATTATATAATTACATAATAAAATAAATCAAGATATATCTTATTGTGCTCATTAAAATAATAATATATATCTCATGATATTATTCAGCAATTATATTATATACTATATAATACAATTATTTATATAGTATATATTAGTTATATTAATTATTTATATATATATATACAATTATATTATATTATATATACTAAATAATTATATTAAAGAAAATTATCATTTATCGATTTTTTATTTAATCTTAAAAAAATTTTAAAAACTATTTTTAACAATTTTATTAATTTATTTTAACAATTATCATTCCACTAAATAAATAATAGAATTTTAAATTAATTTAGAACTAATTATTATTAATTAGAACTAATTAATAACTTATTTTGTTTTTTTTTCAAAATATGCATATACTGTGATATTATTTTTATAATTATATTATTTTACTATGAATTTAAAATATTATGTAAAATCTGATTAATAAAAATGGATTTTTACAGAATCTATTTTTTTTACTGGTAAAATAGAAATAATCATTCAATCTTGAATCTAATCACAATTTATTAGATTCATGACGTAGTTAGTATGTATTCTTAATGAATCGATTAGAATGTTATTCTTTTTTAGCTACACGATTATTGAGGATCATAATCAAATTTATATTTCGATAGAAGATATTCAATGTTTCTTATGTCTTTAATTACATTTAGCAAAATAAAATATCAATAAAAAATATTTTTTTCTTTATTTAAGAATAATTATTATTTAAAACTTTTACATTGCATAACTTGAATATATTGAATTAAATTACAATTAGTAATCTGAGAAACATTGGTTTTTTTCACATAATAATATAATTATTATTTGGAGTATAAAAAATATAATATATTTTCAAAAATTAATGAAAAATATTAAAAATATTTTTATCATACACGCATAATACTAACAGAATATTTTTATAATTATTGATATGCAATGATTTTATAATCTAAATTTATATCAATTTAAATATTATTATATCATTTACATATTATGAATATATTAAATTTTTATATTTTTTATTTTTTTAGATGAATGGGATTTAATTTTTTAGATCTAAATATCAAACAATAAGTGAAAATTTATGTTAAACAAAAACATATAAAGTTATTAAAGGAAGAATTATTTAATTGAATATTCCTTTAATTCAAGCACAACCGTTAAATTATATTCAATTGCTCGATGTGATAAAAATCTTTCTATAATAGGAATTCCAAACAATTTATTAAAAAAAACAAAAAACAAAAGAATTATTAAAAATTTGATATTGTGCATACTACTTTTTCAATTACTTACCACTTCGGTCATCTGCATTCCATTTTCAGACATTTTGAAATTATATATTTATATTGTTTATAGATATTACAAAATTAATTTTTCCTACATTAATCTTAATTTTAATCAAAAATAGATTCCATAAATATGAAAACCTCCAAACGATTCTTCAGGAATCGCAAAAAAAATAATGGAAACGCTTCTTCACTTGATATCGCGCGTCCACGTTAAACGTTAGCGACAAACTGTGTCAATAGACATGATCGCTCTTTAATTTATCGCTAAATGGCTGCTTAGAAACCAAGTATTAGCTGGATTATTTTTATTTTGACAATGATTTTGGCAATCAAAAAAATATCAATAGAAATTAATAAGTAGAGACGCGATTAATTAACAATAGTAAAAATTTATAAAAAATATATTTACTGATAGAAACAAAATATTATTCTAAGATAATTTTTTAAGCAAGTTGTAAAATTCCATAGCTTTTTTTTTAAATAATTCAATCTAAATAATGTTATACTCGAAGATGATGTTATCTTTTAATTTATAATTTATTATAGTAGATTATAATTATACAGTAATATATACAGTAAATTATAAAATTAAATTGTTTTGAAATACACGTGTCAATTATATGCATGCCAAGGAATTTCGCTCATATAACTTCGTATTGATAAAAATAATATTATCTATAATTTAGCAATGCTATGTAACTATCAATTTTGTTAAACAGATCAATTAATTAAATATTAAATTTAAATTCATTATTTATTCAGTAGATTTTTTTAAAACTTGGATCTTTTAGTTTAATAAAAATATTTAATATTTTTACTTAAATAAATCAACTTGAAATAAGCATTTGAAACTTATTCAAATATTTATTTTGATGTGCAATTTTTAGAAGTTATTATATACTAAATAGAAACTTAAATCTAAACTAATATTTTATAAACAGTGATATGACATAAATATTCTTTCTAGATCTTCAATTCTTTAAGATAAATTAACGATATAATCTATAAATAAGAACATACATTATTTGTACAAATTTAAATATGGTTTTAATTTAAAAAATAATAAAATTTATATATTCTTTGATGAAAAATAATATTAATAAATTAATTTCTTCTTTGTTGTTTTTTAAACTTGTAATACATTTACTATTTTTAGTTAAGATGAAATTATTTCTAATAATTTTTATAATATTATCAAATAAATAACTTAACAAATTATTTATATAAATGTCAATCAAAATAGTATTAAAAAAATTTATTAAAAATATAAAACGTGAAAAATGTTTGATTTTCCCGCCTGAAAGATGGCGCTTATATTATTGAAAAGTATAGAATATATAACCTCAATATTTATATAGTCGAAGCTGTGTATCATAACCTATCGTATTATTTCTTCTTTGTGTTGTGCATTATAAATAGACAATTTAAAATTCATATTTCATGTGTCCTTTGAAATTTTTTGTAAAAGAAAATAAAAATTTTTATAAAAAGATATAGATAAATATATAAAATGGATGAACTAAGTGAACCTATGGATGTGGAAATGCTTCCAATTATTGATGACAGCAAGATTGTTGATTCTGATCAAACAAATGTAAAAACATTTAATACGAACAATGTACACGTATCAGAGGTAAATAAATATAAATAATCAATTTATAATTATATAATTAATGTCACATTTTATTAATTTTCTTGTCATTATTTTGCTTTTATGTTTTGTAATATAACTTTGATATTTAATTCATTTTAGCTTTAATCAAAAATTATTTTATGATCTTAAATTATAAAAATGTTATATTTATATTAAATTTTAAAATTAAAAATTAATATAATACATTTTATTTAAATAGGTACAGTTAGATAACCGTTATGAAAATCGTGGTGGTACTTTTATGACAGGCATAGATATATTTAGTAAAGAAGAAAAACTCAAAATGGAAGAGAGAGCTAAGCGTTTTGGATTAACAGATAAAATAAAAAATAATCTATCAAATCAAGAACAAGATTTATATTCTAGGTAAAAATATTATAAATATTAATTTCACAAATAATATAATAATAGTTTGATAATCATAATGCATAACAGATTTTTTTTTATATTTAGTATGGGCATTGTAGAAGACAGTGAAAATACAAAAAATATTAGATTAAATGTAATACATATGAGAGGAACTGAAGAAATGAGTACCAAAGATGTTTTTAAATATTTTGAAGATTATGCCCCAGCTTCAATTGAATGGATTAATGATGTTTCATGTAAGAATAATTTTACCTTATAAATTTTAATATAAGTATTAATATTTTTAAAACATTATATGAATTTTTCGGAATATATTAAAAAATAAAATAGATTAAATTTATTAATACATAACATATTATAGGCAATGTAGTATGGTTAGACAATTTATCAGCTGCTAGAGCTATGTTGGGATTATCAAAAAGAATTATGGGTTTAGAAAAACAAAAAAGTACAAAAACACTTGATAGTAATCCTGATGAAGAAAACAATGTAGCTAATGATGATTATACTGTTGAAATGGTTGAAGATAATGAAACTGTAACAAAGAGTATAGAGGAAGGCTATATAAGTATCAAGGATATTAATTGTCCATTACCACCTGGTTTATGGAGGAAGGGTATAGATTATCCTAAATCTAAAGCAATATTTCTTAGATTTGCTACTAGAGCAGATAAAAAGCAACCAAATGCAGAAAAAATGAGTGAATATTATAAAAAATATGGAAATCCTAATTTTGGAGGTATTATAAAAATATAAAAATATTAAAAATATTCTATTAAAATATTCTATATAAATAAATAAAATCCTCCTTATAGGTATTAAAGGAATTTTAACTGAGTCTCGAAAACGAATGTATAAACAAATTAGACAAAGTAAAAGAAGATTCAAAGAAGAGTCACAAGAAGATGTTAAAGATAAAAAACGTGTGAAAAATCCATGGGGTGCGTTATCAGAAAGTTGGGGACTTAATGATGCTATAGAAAATGAATTTGGTACTAGAAATGAATCTAGAGATCAAGGACGTAGTGTGAAAGATAGATTAGGGATAAAATATTCCCAAAAAGAAATTACACACACTGAAGAACAACAAAGTACTTCAAGTAGTGATAGTGAAAATGAATGGTGTAAAAGAAGTAAAGTATTACGAATGCGTATGCATGCGGATGATGAAGAAAAAAAAATACACAAACGTCGCGCAAAACTTCGAGAACAAGTAAATTTAATTTTTAATTGAATGAAAATTCTATAATGATAGAATTTAATATTCATTATAATATATTTACAGACAATATTAAATAACTTAAGTAAAGGCAATGATTTACGATCGAGGCTCAGCAAATCAAAAAAAGGAACGCAATTTCGTGATGCAATCCAAGTAGTTGTAACAAATACAAATGTAACAAAGTCGAATTCATTAAAACTTAATGAATCAGAGGTAATAATTATTAAAAAATTAATATTGAATTACAATTTAAACTAAAAATAAAAATTTATTATTATTAAAAATAAATTAAAAATAATAATTTACGAATTATATTGCATAGGAGGAAGATGGTGAAATTATAGAAGATAATGAAAGCCAGGAAAAAGAAGAAGGCGAATGGCAAGGATCTGATGTAGAACGAGAAGAAGACGAAGACGAAAATTATAGTGATGAAGATAGTGACAAACCAGTAAAAGAAGTCCAAGGACCTAAAGGCAGTGTAATAAAAGTAGTTCAGCATAAACCTCGTGTTGCTTCTACAGTGTGGGCAAGACTTAACAATGTAAAAAGCGAAGTTATTGATAAATCTATCAAAAATAGGTAAGAATTTAAAAATATAAATATTTTGTTTGTATGTATAATATTTAAAAATATATTAATTTTGAAGGCAATCAAGAATACGAGATCTCAGAAATACATTAAAAGGTGATCTTCGATCTCGAATCGGAAATCATACAAGAGGTCGTTCTCCTTTAAGGATAGAAGTGAAAAATGATAAATATACAGAAGGAAGTGAAACAGAATAATTATCGATTAGTCAAACAAATTGTCATAAAAAATGTGGAATGTGGTTGTGGTGTTCTATTTCAGTGGAAGAGAATGGTATGGTGCAAACTTCCTAATTGATGTATAAAAAATAGAAAATGCACTCATTACACCGAATTTACTACTTCGTTTAATTGTATACTTTTATGTAAATTAAGATGTTCTAAAATCGCATGAAATCAAATTTTAATCATGAACATATTTATTTATATTAATAAAATATATATGAGAAAAAATTTTGTTGATATACAAATTTGAATCATAGAATATTAAATTTGAAATATCGTATTTTTAATTTTAATTGACTAAATATTTAATATTGATACATTTTTGACTATGTAAGAATTAAAAGTTTTCTATTTAAGCAAGAATTTTTTTGAAAAAATATGTACTGGATACATATTTATCAATATAATTTTCCATAATTTTTTATTATTTATATAATTCAATTATAAATGAATTATATATCGATCTTTTAATAATGATTAACAATGCTATTAATATATATATTGTATACATAATATATTCCAAATATATTCTTAAAATGAGATAAAATACAAAATAAATACAAATAAACGGGTAATGAGTGCTTCCTGGATTGTATATAAATATTATCTAATATAGATAATAATAAAAAACAATTTTTCATTAACACATTGTATACTGAGAAATAGAATGTATTTTTAAATATTCGTTTGTACATTTGAAATTTTCACTGAGAATTGAAAAATGTTTTGTAATTATAATTCGAAAAAAGATATTTTCGGATACTATTTAATTAATAGAGAGATAAATTTATACTTTATCGTACAAAAAAATTCTACAAACGAATATTTAATCAATTATACATCGAAACAATATAGTTTTATAGTTTCTTTCCTTTAAAATTTAATGGTTATATCAGTTTAAAAAATCAATAAAAAAATAAAGAAAAATACTCAACTCGGTTGTAAATAAAAATTGTATAAGACTAATTTCCGTATATGTAGAGCATTTAAAATATTTTTCTTGCGTTTATGATGATTAATGAAATATTTTGACATCTGTGATTTCTTAAATATGTATAAAAAATTAAAAAAAAAAAAAAAGAATTAATATGTAATTTCATAAACAATTCTTTTTAATTTTAATTACAAAATGAAATATTGTAAAATTTGTAATTTTTTGACAAGTATATTAAAACACATACGTAAAAACCAAGGAAACAAAGAAACAAAGAAAAACTAAATCAATATCTATTTGAATTTAAAAGAAATAGGGATATGAATAATTATAACATCGATTCCGAATAATTGACCAATAAAGCCGCATTTATATTAGCACAATAATATTTTGAATAGTCATTTTAAAATACAATAATCGATAATTATGATTTCAATATATATATATATATATATATTTATATATTTATATATATATTTATCACTTACACAAATAACAATTATTCGGAGAAATATTCGGCTGAATTCGAAAAAGATAAATAAAAAAAAAAGATTTATCGTTCGAAGAACACAGTGGATTATCGGAATATTCTTTTAGCTGCATTCATAAGTTTCTATCTGTTACTTTGATTCTCTACGTTAATTTATAATTTCATTTTGTATTATAAATATTTCAAATGAAATCTATTGTGATTTATTAAAAAAAAAAATATTAAAGAATAAAAATAATAAAAATATTAAATATTAAAGTATTATTTTTAATTCGAGCATAAGATACTGAAATGATAGATTCTATAAATGCAGCTTGGAGGCACGAGGTAATTTAATGTATTAACAAACGAGATGTGATATTTTTGATACTATTAAAGCACGTAACAATTTTTTTTAATTATGTGTTTATCTAAAATCGTGTGTATATCGAAAACCATTTAATAACTATATCCATTAACTGTGATTTTAATATCTAATATTATATCTACATTTTTATGTTTCATCAAGTATAAGATCTATTTTGTGAATTAGCTCTCATTAATTAATATTCATTTTTTTGTTTGCTTCAGAATCAGAAATATCAATCTCATTTGCTAAAAGGTAATCGTGCAAGATATCGAGGATTTCTTTCTTCTATCCTACATAAAAATTGTTGATGTATTTTCTAATTAATTCTTTTCCTTCTTTTAAACCAATCGATAAACGCTACTTTCGCTTTTTTCATTTTCTTTCGCATTTCTTTTTCATTTCCTCTCTTTTTTTTGTTCTTTTTGTTTTCTCATAAATGACGTATAACATTTAAAATCCATAGACGAAATATTTTTTTAATATTCGGATATATAAGATATGAATCGGCAACAACAACAAATACACGCAACGTTTAAGTATATTAGGCCTGATGATATTGATAATAATTCTATCAATATATATTAAACGCTACAATTTATCGTTGCTCGCATTCCACTTACATTCAATGTCTCTTTCTTCGCGATAATGGGTGTTCCAATGTTATTAATTTTTTCTTATTCTTTTTTTATTTATTTTTATAATTATATCAGCAATCGTTAAGAATATCCGACAACAAATTATATTTGATGGAAGATCTTTAACAATAATTAATTATTTTCAACGAAATTTGTACGTTTGCATAACGTACGATACTTGACATAGGATCATAGCAAATGTACAATATTTCTTATTTTATTAATTGTTTTAAACATCGGATCTCATATACCGTGAAGAGAATAGACGGGAACTTTGAAATTTTATGGAATTTAAATGCATCGCAACTTTTTTTTAATACATTTTTAATACTTGATTGATTTGATACTAATCTCGTTATTCTTACATTTACAAACGAATAGAAAGATTCAAAGATTTGTTTCACCCCTTAGATGAACTACATAATAAATTACATGATAAATAAGAAAATTTATAAGTTAATTTTTTATCGTTTTTTTTTTTTTTATAATCTGTGAACATTGTTTTCAAGTTCTGATTAGTAAATTTTTTTTCTTTTGCTTTATTTTTTCTTTTTTTTTCTTTCTTTTTTTTTTTTTTTTTTTTTTTTTTTTTTTTTTTTTTTTTTTTTTTTTTTTTTTTTTATTGTTTTTCCATTTTTGAGTCAATTCTCACGCGTAAACGAGTTTGGAACACCGATATCGTCATGGTCAGTTAACCGACTCGTTATAATGTCCCCTCGGTCTTTCGAGGCAGCTCGTGAAAATTATTTGACAAACATCTCACGGTTTACTAATCATTCAACAGTCGCAACTACTTTTGAGACTCTAAATTAATGTCTTAAATACATACATAGATTAAGTTACGAAATTCGGACACATAGCAACTATACACGCAGAAATATTCGGACATGTAAACGTCGAACTGTTTCAAAAATCAGCTTCATGTATAATGCTCGAGGGACTTTTATTTAAGCTTCAAAGACAAAATTGAAATATATACGAGGAAGGAAAGATTATATTTATATATGAATTAGTTTTAATTTATATTTTTATAAAAAATTATGAATTAATAAAATTCAAAGAAGTACTATTATTTTTTTTTGTAAATTTTTCTAAGAAATTTCGTACCGATTTATTTTTAAAAATATCGATAAATGTATATTTTATTTATTTCAAAATTTATTGCACAAGTCAGTGAGTCATTAAGGAAAAAGCAAAACATATAAATGTGAACAAGAGTTGAAAGCTTGTTACACAATTTTTTAAAATCTTTCTTCCTTGTAAATAAACTTGTATTCGAAACACGCAGAGATACTGACAATTTTATGAATTCTAGATAAATCTGATAAGATAGTAAATTCATTGTAAAATAAAATTAAATAAATTCCCAGTATCGGGCGTATCGTGAGCACGAACCGAAACGTTTCAGATCGAGAATTTAATAAGAACAGTGCACGTACATATTTCAACGAGCAAGTATTCTCTTCGAGATTTCTTATGCTTACAAAAAAAGAAACACATGGAGGAATTTTTTCAGTATGAAAAGCAATGCGCATATTGGTTAATTGCTAATTTCCATTGATGAAATCATCGTTTAAATATCCGTCAACGACGTCAACGATATAGTTATAATTACAAGGACATAAACCGTAAAAAAACATCGCATTAAAACCTTCTCTTTAAGAAGATAATTAGATCTATAATATTTTTCTTCTGAAATGAATTTTCTTTCTAATTTTCAAGAGAAATTTCTTCTTTAATCATAAAAGAATAGAATAAAAATAGAATTTTTTTTTTATCTTCTTAATCAATAATTCTAATCAATCATTATTATTTTCAACTTGAAAAATTATTATATCCTTAAGAAAATTCAGACTCTCAAATGATGAAAGCCAATTATATATTATTGAAGTTCTGTTTTTAAATTTCTCAAATATGCTTTTAATAAAAGCGTAAAATATACTAAATTTTTCTCTTATGAATTGTTATTTTTTACAAGATTCCGGATATAAGCGGCTACAAGGCTGAATCGATAATCCAATAAATCCTTCAATGCTCTGTAAAGCATAAAATATGCTGAGAAATAGAAAAGAACACTCATGGGATATAACATTTTTCCTCTTTGTCTTTTTCTTTCAAATAATTAAATCGTGAAAGGATGCTAGAAATTGAAAATAATCGTTTTCGTTATTTCCTCTCAAATAACTTGTAATCTGAGGGGAAAGAAACACCGATGTTTCTTTCAAGCAAATTATTGTGAATATATAATATACTATAGACAAATATCATTAATGAAGAATTATTTTATTAGATATATCGAAGAATATGAGATTTAATAGTCGAATGAGGCAAATAAGTGCTTATATCGAATCGTTCATACTATATTTCTGCTATAGTAATTCTTCTTCTTCTATCGTTTTCATGTCTCATTCTCACTTACATTCTTTCTCTTTATCGTATTTATTAATAAGATTTTATTGTTTCACTTATTTTCTCAATTATACGCCAAGACTTTGATTTTGAAGGATACTGTTTTTTTTTTTTCTTTTTGCTTTGCTTCTTAAATATTTTAAATGTGTTCTCGCCACTTCGAATAGCATCAGATTGTCATTGGAAAACGATGAAATACTTATATTTTATAGAAAAAGAAAA